GAGAAAGCAAAAAAGTACGAGTAGTTCAAAAATCAAAATCTTCAGAATGCTAATTGCCGGGTGATGCAGCTTCGGTTAGCTTCTTATTATATGATATTTATTTAACAGTGGTTGCTAGAAACAACTTTATAAGCACTGGTTCCAGGACAGATATTAGCCGATAGTAAAGACAGAACTGCTCCTGGCGTGTGGAAGCGTCCTAGTAACATCACTAACAGGAGACATCCGTCTTTAGAATCTGAGCGATTCTGGTATTCTTAATAAATATGAAAATGCTGGGGATTTTTTTGTGTAGCACATGCAAAAAATTAATAATTTAGCTGAGATCAAAATGTTGCAGTTCACTAAAGAGCACACGTCTTAATTCGATGACACTTTGCTAGTTGCGTTTACAGTAGTAAAATAAACAACTGCAATTGATTAAAAAAACAAATATGATGGCCGCAGCTCCAACAGTCCATCTAGAGCACTTATCGTGCTAAATTTTTCAGTCGCTCACCACCAGACGCTCGCGTACCACGTCGTCGTTCTCGCTCGTGGCGTCGCCGTGTACAACAGATGGAACGCGCTGAACGTCAGCGTGTTTTGCATGCAGGAAACCACGGCCAACACTGGAAGCGCAGACGATTGTGCGAATGGGTCAAGAAGACACGCAGTGCTAATGCGTCACCACTGCGTCAACAAATTAAGCCCAACGCTAATGACCCTAGCAAAGTTCCGGACAATCGTCAGCAACGAACACGAAGTGCCACGCCTGTTCGTTCCGCAGGTATTACAGTTCCGGAAAGCAATAAATTTAAAACAAACCCAGTTTAGCCGGTCCGAAAAATGCCAGCGAAGAAAGCAGGTGCAGGAAATCGTCTGCAGCAAGGATCTTGTACACCGGAACTAACACACAGTAGATCACTATTTTGACAAAGAACGATACCCCAGTCAGTCTACCCCGTCTGATCTACCCTGTCCTGGATATGAATCAAAATTTCGTTGCGGAATATCCCAACCCGAGCTCGAATTTAAAAATAAAGCTTAAATTTTTTTTTTAATTTTTTTTAATACCTTGGATTTTTGATGATATTTCTTGAATTATTTTTTTTTGTAAGGCTTAAATTTTTGTTGGTTTCGAATCAATGTTCATCAATTCTATGTTTCTTTATCCTTAACCCCTCCTTGACATTTTGATAATTTCATCAGTTGCAGCTGGAGGCTTTTCCAATTGCTTTCCCAATCGCCTGATAGTCAGCCTGCTGCAGATCCTGTTTGTATCGTCTCCTTATGGGTTCGCCAACTCAAAAATTTTCTCGACAGAAGCACCCTGGCAAAGTTTTGACGCTTTAAAAATGTTAACCATCACCTCTCTGGCCCTGATCGTTATTGCACTTAGGTCATAATGAAGTATCTTGCTGACTGGATGACTTCCTCGGTGAAAAATCTAATTAAAAAACTCTTCTAATAACTTGGCATTAGACAGTTCCTGAAACAAAAAGCGAGAATTGGCTCACTAGTTCAAAGTCATGAAAAAAGACGAAAAGGTGGTTGCCTCTTTTCCAAACTTAACAAATTTTGTAACTTTATCAAAAACTGTACTCTAGCAGTGTGAGGGAATAAGAGCTAGTACTGTTTTCTTGTTTTGTTTCTCATGCTTACAAGCAAAAGCCTGTCTTGCTCGGCTCACTCATTTTTATGTTTTTTGCAGCTATGCAATGCAGAAAATGCATATCGACGAGGGGTTGTCTGTGTGTATGTGTGTGTATATGTGTGTCTGTTTGTGCGCTGCGAGTGTGTACCAATTTTTCATCTCGAGACCTACAAAAGCTACAGGGTTGAAAATTTAGAAACTTAATTTATATGTATGAGCGGGCCCCCACCCCCGAGATGGGCGGTCTTACCCGCGTGGTACCCACGTACGGGCTCGCGAAAGTTTTTTGCGGGTAAGCCGCTAACTCGGGAAACAGAAAAGCTAGAAGGCTCAAAATTTTATGGGGATATTCCCCGTCTACGCAGGCCCTAATGAGTTCAAACCTAATCTCCGAGTACGCGTGGTTCCCATTTACGAGCCCGTGAAAGTTTTTTGCTGGTATGTTACTAACTCGGGAACCAGGGGAGCTAGAAAGCTGAAATTTTAAACGTACGCTTCCTAACAGTTCTATTTAGGCCACTCTCAATTCTTTTAACTAGAAACGCTTACCGGGAAAACCGATACTGGTAGCGACATAAACCTGCAGGGAACTATGCAAAAAACGCATCTTCGCACCGGCAACCGACGCGTTCACCAATTTTTTTTTAATGTTAGGACATAAGTAGGCAAGCACTGCGTTTGCAGAATCAGAGGAGAAGCAGCAACAGGCGGGAACAGATGCTGATAGCTCAGAACCGTGGCAGGTACCAATCAAGAAAGAAGATGCGCCAGCTTCCGGTGGTGTTGATGGTGGTGGGAAGCTGAAGTTTCAGGTGCAGCTGGCACACGGCAGTCCAACTGGGATTATTGGAAATTTTAAAAGTATCGCTCAGCTCTATCAGGTAAAGCTTGGAATCCTCAAATATTTGGCATTTAATCATCTGAATTGTGGAAATACGCTTTATTTTTAGTAACTGGAGGTATGCAGGATCAAAGGGCCTGGCATAGTTGTTACTTTTCTTGATTGGATGCTCTAACAAAAAAGTTGAATTTGAGGTCGTAAGCTAGAAAAT